TCAGTAGACTCTTAATTCCAGATTCTTTTATTGAATTCAACCATCTGCCATGCCGACAGTTAAACCCAGGTCCCCAGAACATTAACTGAGTTTCTGGGTTAATAGTCTAGTGATAAAACCATTAGGCCATTGCCTCCCCCTCATTCCGCTGTCAGTCATCCTCACAATTAATCATTTATTACTGTTTCTCCTCCCAACAATGACATGCAATGAATATACAGAGACCACTCTCACTCTCATCTTTTACTTGTTTCCCAACTTGCCTCGCTCCTATCTTTCCATCAATGGGAGTGTCATTTCAATATTCAGCTTGTCTTTTTCTTTAACAAAAAAGGTCAAATTAAGATAAGGACAACCAATATCTGCTTATCATCCCTCCTCACTATCAGGTATTTATGTTTAAAATGATTTCATTTTGTGACAATAAATTGTTGATGCTTGGACCTTTCCTGTTTGCATCAACACACACTTTTATTTATAAATTAAATATACTTGCTGAACATTACAGCACACAAAAATAACAATGACTATGACGAATAATATCACTTTTTCTTCACCTTCTCTCTCTCTCACTCACTTGCAAGCACACTCCTTTTCTGCTGAAATGATTATGTTTATCTGAATGAATCCCTTGGAATTTGGTCTTTGGCTTCTCAGAAATTACCTTGAAAAGAATAATTGAGTAGGAACTGCTGTAAGATGAGGAAAGATATTCTTGTAATTCCACTGAATAAATCCTGAGCTTACACTGAAGAATTGATGTACAAATTGTGATCTCTGGACAAAAAGAAAATCATAGTTTTTTATAAAATACAAAAGATCATTAAGTCAATAAATTAGAATGCCACTGTAAACTAAATAGTTCTTGTTTGTTTAAATTATGTCAAGTATTTAAAAAAAAAACTTGGATCAGAAAGTGTTCTGTGTGGTTTGTGGATCTTAGATGAAATAACCACGGAGTGGCTGAGGGTCTGAAATTACCTAGTGCCAGGAGGTAGCTGGCATTGATAAATCAAATGGGAAATGTGGGTCTAAGAAGTTACAATAACAGATGTTGACATAAATATGTGAACAAAAATGTGACAAATGGGAATAATGTTCATAATTTGAATTATGTGCAGATGTCAAATATCTGCTAAGATATGTTCTTACAACCTTTACAGACCAATAATAGTTTAAAGAGAAATTTAAACTTCAACTGAAATGATATGTCAATATTTCACAATTTAATTAACTTCTGATGTACTAATAATTAAAGACAAAACACCATTAAATAAATGATATGTTCCTTTTATCAGAAACACATCAAACTACCAAAGAGTTTGCAACCAAAAGCCCCAATTTATGTTACTTTGTCTCTTTATAGAAACCCAATCTCTTTAAATGGAAAGTAGAAATACTTTGCAGTACCCAAAGACTTACTTTGTTCTTTTTCCTTCCTAATCCCAATTTTCAATCTGAGAGATTTCCTTGGGATTTGTTGTCTAGTATCAGCTGATCAAACCCTCCAGCCTTGCCACAACTTCTCATGAACTCAGTTTCCAAATTACATATGAGCTTCCACCCTTTTTATTGTTATGGCAAACAATGGAGTTTTCTCTGCTTAAGATGCAGGCCGGCCAAAATTTAATTATTTTATCTTCCCAATTCCCAGTTAACTACATGTCATTCAAGATCAAAATGCAACTGCCTTTTCTCAGTGAGATTTCTGGGTTTATGTGAAAACCTGTAGCTTGATGTCAAAATGGTTTCTTTTGTCACTTTCTCCTTGGTAAATGAAAAAGATCAGCATTGTATCCAAGGAAAAATGTTAATCAGTTTTATCTGATCATTGCTCTTTTCAATTAAGAAACAAAAGGAAATACGTTCCAGCACAACCTGATCTTGAGAACATCTTTCTGGATTTTAGCAGGTTTAGGATATTATCATTGTGAACATAGCAAGAGCAATAACTACCCTCATATGTAAATATCCAGTAGCTTCATTTTTATAAGAAAAAAGCTGACTCTCCATGTGGTCTTTGAGAATTAAACATTGCACGTTTATCATCACAGGTCCTAGTGTATATCACATGACACATTTCATTTCCATAAAATTTAAGACTGTCTACAACACTCTTACAAACCAAAGTATATCGTCTTTAATCATAATAATCCAATAAACCTCACATGTAACAGTTTTTGTGTAATATATATCTATTGCTAGAGCACTATGCGATTTTTCATAATTTTTATTTTTTATCCATTTTAGCTTGGAGCTGTGAATTGGGAACTGTTAACTAAAAATAACTTTTGCATTCTGGGTAATAAATTGTGTTAAAAGGAAGACAAACTTTTCAAGCTTTTCTTTATTAATTAAGTCAAGCCTGGAAATTAATTGGAGGCTGGTTCTTAATCAAAAGGTTCTGTGATGCTTCATCAACAAGAAAGGGCATTTTGTTTAAACAAATAGCAGAGGTTGGCTCTTCATAAAGTTAATACCTGGAAATGGGTTCTAGTAAGTCTGGAAAGATCTTCCGCTCAAGTATATAGCAGATGTTGAATGGTATCTGGGACCTCATAGATGAAACGGTTAGTCAGGGAGTGTTCAGTGTTTGAATTGGGGTTGGCTCTAAGTTTTTAGTGAAAAATGGAATTTGTCCCTTGCTGCTACATTTTGAAGATTTGAGAGGTCCCAGCCTAACCTTGTCATCAACCCTAGGAAACTCAGAGAATAGAAAATCAATTTATATCTGAACCTTTATGTTAGTGAACTGTAAAGGTGATTCTCAGCAACATCTTCTGAAAATCAACTAATCAACCATCATCTATACCTGTGGAACAATGCATTATAAAAATCACTTAAGTAACCTGGCCACATTCATTATTTTCTTTTATTTATCTTTAACTGTGTTTGTTTGTCTGTTTGTCTTTTGTGTGGATGGGCTGGAAACAAGGCTTTTGGATTTAAAACATAGACCAATTACAATATTTTGTAGCTTAATTTTACTCTGCTAAAGTTATTCTACTGTTAATAAGTTGCTAAGTCATTTGTCTGAGATGGACACTGGTGTCTGGAATTGGTTATTTAAGAAGTCTGGTTAGGAACCATTGGAGTCACTTTTGAGTGCCTTTTAAGCTTTTAATTTTATACATTGCAAATACAGAGAGGCTTATCTGGTTTGACTGTCTGTCACTGTTTTGTAACATATTGTACAGCTGCCCATGACAGTGAATCGGATATAATTGTTGTCATCAGTAAAAGGGTGAAAGACGGAAAGTTGGTCACTTGAAGACTAAAATGGTTAAGTTTGAAGGTAAGAAAGTCTTGGATGTGAATTTCAACACAGAAGGGCTTTTGCAGTGATGGGGGACAATAATGCTATGAAATGGAAGATGAGGTCTTTATGATAGAGAGGACATGTGGTTGGAAGACCAGATCGGGTCATACTTACACTCTGGCATGAATTTTCTAGCTCACCTTGAGGCAGCATCAAAGGGAGGGGCTGGAAAGGTACAAAACTCAGTTCTGTGGGGGAGTCCTAGAAGGCTTACCAACGTCTACACATCGTTGTCACCTATTTTGTTGAGTTAAAGCAGGTACAGTGTATGCCTTTGTTCTTTCTGTTTACAAAGATCAGATCCTGTGTACCGTGAAGAGTTAGATAACTCAGATGTTTGAGCAACTGA